GCAATTCGGGCGACTGCTCTAACCATTGAGCTACCCGAGACTAACAAACAAACTTGCGCATTTATAATAATAATTTGTAGAATTATTTTTAAACTAACGAATTTTTCAAGTACTTGTTTTCATTATTATTAAATGATTAAGACCACAGTTTTTTTTTCTATCTCTGTTTATAATGTATTGATCCTGTAATGACATGGTTTTTGTAAATGTCATTACTCTTATTAGAGCTGGTGAGTTTCTTGCTCGTTCTTCTTATCAGCCAAAAGACGTCCTGAACGAGTGGTAGGGAAAAAATGTTGGACGATTTAAAAGTACTTTTACGAAGTCTATTTAAATAAAGATTATTTTGACTTTTGACTTTGACTTGTTGCTTTTCGCTACTACAGAAAAAAAGTGGATTTTTAAAACATTTTTCATTAAGAACATTTATCAGTATAGCATTGTAAATGTAAAATTGACCAAATATAATAAAACGTAAAGTAGTTGAGACGTAAGAATTGAGGAACAAGATCACTGCGCCTATTTTATTCAAAAGGCCTAGAAAAAACACAAGAATGGCACGAAACTGTGCAACAGGCTCGCTCGATAGCAGTGCTCGAAGGATTAAAGTGGTTCGATCCCTTTACTCTCGGAAAGTCATTAAAGATTCCATTACCGCTTGATTAGCTTCTCGCCTCGAGCTCATTAGTAAGTTTAATATCAATAAATTTGGATGTTTCAATGCCTCAAATCAAAGCGTAGCTTTATTTTAGGCCGCAAAGAAAATAGATGATAAAAAATCTATCTATATAACTTTGAGTCGGATCTCTTGCGAAACCATATTATAATATCTATCAAACAATCAATATATATCAATAATAGACAGCTATTTATGTATAGACGATTTGAAAGTGCTTGAATAAGTTTATTTGAATAAAAATATAAATAAATTGTGATTTTAAAATTGTCTATTTAAGTGTTCTGTTACGGGGGCGGTCAGGAATGGCTTTAAAAAAAAAACTTATTTCAATTTAACACTTCGTTTATTTGTATGAAGAATACGATTTACTACACTATTTGTAGAACAACATGTTGTCCGACGGGAGTCCAATCCAAAACTGATTTTATTAAATATCATTATTGCGTTCAAGGCTCGGTTTCCTATTGCATGACGACAATGCGATAGGAAACGTCTATGTTGCGTTTTTTATTTTAATAGGAACTAATAGAAATTATATTATAACAGATCGTAACATTTTAGTCATTAGGGACTTACCATGACCGGGGTGTTATGGGAAGTCTCTATTGAGTTAAATGTTACCACCATACTTGGCTATAATTTTTTTTCTCTAGTACAAAAAACCAATGGACCAACTTGGTATAATATGCTATATATAACTCTAGAAAAATAAAGTAAAAAAATAATGAAATCTGAGAGAAGGAAATACACATATTTTTTACACACTACAAACTTTTGAATTACTTATTTTTTTCAACTTTTTTGTTTGTTTTTGAAAAACTTTTTTAATTATATTATATTTTAAAGTTTTGTCTTATTTCTTTAATTGCTGACATAGCATTGTGTTAGTCTCAATATGTTAGTGTTCTCGTAAAGATGGATCTAAAGAGCCCAAACACGATCCAGTTGCGTTAGTTCATTGCTAAGAGTCTATGACCACCTTCGAGCTCCACCATCACCAGACCTTGGTTTGGAAAACATCCTGTACCAAAAGTCTCATAAAGACGGATCTAACGAGCTCAAACGCGATGCAATTGCGTCATTTCATTACTAAGTTCCTATCCACCTAACCACCTTCCGACTTCATCATAATATCAGCGTACAGACACCATAATATTACATTGTCATCTGACTTACACGTCTATGCATAATTTCAAATCTATCGGACATTGGATTTCGGGTCAAATTTGAGTTCTAAGATTTGCACAGTAACTGACAAGGCAACTTAAATAAAATGTTGTAAAATAATTATCTCATTAAAAAAAAACTGTTAAGTAGTTAAAACGCCGATATTTCCCCTGTAAATCCATTTTCAAAAACAAAATGTTCATATCCAAGACTAGCCTGTGGGCTCCTTGGTGACAGGCACAAAATAAAAAAAAAAACTTATATACTTTTACGCCAAGAAAATTAAATGCTATCATATCTTTGATTTAGTACCTACGCTATATCCGTCGTGGACCGCCAGACATTTTGACCAAGAGAATTAAAAAAAATAATCACGTAATATACAAATATCTCTAAGCCTAATTCTAATTTCAAATTGTTAAGATTACTAATCTCAAGAAATAGTTATATGACTTAAGTGTTTAGTAAATCTATTCATAAACATTTCAATTACCAAAAAGTTTCAGATTATGATTTTATTAAGTCAGTTTAATAGTCTGCAATGAACAATGTAATAAAGATAATCTTATTTAGCAATTCGTTACACATAAAAATCTTTTATTCTATGTGAAAATAAGATTTGTGGTTTAAAACTTCCTAATTGTCTGAATGGAGGTCGTCATAATTAAAACAAAATGGATCATAAAAACTTTTTACAAAAAGAACCGAATTCAAACTTTAAAAAAGTAAAAAATTATACTTATCTCAAAAGTGCTTATTCAAGAAAATGCTATTGAAATCGGGCGGAGGTTTTCTCTAGGTTATTAATTAAATATTAGTCGTAATAAAAAGTTTGCGAGTTATTCATCAAACAGTTTTTGACGCAATTCGCCATCGTTTGTCGAATTGCATCATGAGATGAGATACAAAGGTGTTCTGGATTTATTCCCATTCTATAAGTTTTTGCATTAAGCTTAATAATAACTAATTTGTGCTGCGTTATTTATTAATTATCTGTGACTTTCTTCTGTTGTTCTTGTTACAATGTCAACACAATTCATAATTTAATACCCGATCTCAGGAAGCACTATTGATATTTTTCATAAAATAAGTAAATATTATTTTTGCACAATAACTTCATTCAACTCACATTTATTTGAAAACCATATTAAATCGTTTAATAAATCGAAAAATTTAAGAAAGACGCCATACTATCAAATTCAATTTGATAGATGTCAAATGTGGCTTTTTATAATGACCCAACAGTACTATCTATGACTTTCATAAAAAAAATATCAAAGAGTTAATTATACATACTCGTTGAACATAGAAAATCTTCCTTTCAGATTTTAAATGAATTCTAAATACGCAATCTTCTGTTTTTTAGCTGAAATGGGCCATGTCATACCTTAACATCTTTATCTAATATATACTTTTACTATTTGATCTTAATATTCAGGTGATATCTGTTGGAAAGCGTATTTTATTTTGTTATAAAAGGAAAACTACTCATTCGATTTTGATAAAATTTAAATTGCACCTCTTCGATCCATCAAGTTGTCGAAAATAAAAGAAATTTTATTTGAGCCAGAACCTTGAGCCAGAAAATGCAGCTGATCCCATCGCTAATGTATGATAGCGATAATTAGATATACAATCGATACATCGTGAAGAACGTAACTGCTTAAGTAATAGTGCTAACTTTAATAGATTAAGATCTACACAATCGGTATATTAATTCTGTGGTATCTGAGTATAAATAATGCACGTTTCTAAGAATAAATAATACATAAAATTTATTTAGAACTGAGAATGTATGAATATGACAAATATATGAATGGAGGTTTTCTCGTCATTAAAATCGATGATATGATTGTACATATTCCTCATTAGTTTGCAGTAAGTTTTATTTCATAGAAACTATTAGAGTTTCAATGAAATAAAACCTGCAATGTGTTCAAACCCAGCAACTAACACGGCTTCTTTTTAACAGAACAGCGGTGCGGTCCGGGTAGCGGGCGCTTTACGTATAGTAGAATAGTCTACCTCTGTGTATGAGGAAATAGTTATATAGCGTATTTTTTTGTTATAACACAAAAAATAAGCGTTTTACTACTTAGAGATCACATAGGTACTTAGTTCATTGAATGTTTGCACATAGAATTTGAACGATCACGTGAAATTACGATGGAACAGTTTGTACGTTTCGCTGTCATTATATTAATAATACTTCTACGCCATAACAGAATTAACCAAATCCAAATGTGTTATCTAAATCGTTTCAAAACAGCACAGACACAGACAGCCAATGTTTACATTATGAAGTCAATGCAAACAGCTGTAACTGTATTCTCTAAAATGGATACTAAAATTAATAATCTAAATATATTAGGTTCAAGTAAATACAAATCAAAGTAGTTAAATGTTATTAAATTGTTTATTGTGAAGTAAAATAAATAAATGGTAGATTATAAAGAGAAGACATCAATTGGAGGAACCATAAATATTAATCTAAAAACGTTCTAGAACTTTAAAAAGAAATTGTAAACTGTATTAAAAGATTTTGAAAAAACAAATCTACAGTCAGCAAAAAAAAAAAAACCTATCTACAGTCACCAAAAAAGGTTGTAAAATACCAAAATATTTTTTATGCCTATCATCAAGTGCCCTACTCAACCTTTTCAAAATTTTACTTAAGATCATATTATCAGTGTAAATGTGTAAGATCAATCGTGTCCTAGCTATTTATAATTAGAGAAACATTCTTGTAAGTATGAAACATGTTGGTTTAACAATTGAATTCAGGATAACTTCATGTATTATAACTGATAATACTTACCAAGCAACAGGTCGTTATAAAGACAAAACATAAACACAGTAAACAATGTCATAGTCGTATTAAAACAATGACAATAGCTTATTTAAAGATTATGATAGCAATCGTCACTGAATGTCCTTAACAAAGCCACTTTAATCTGATTTAAAACATAAGACACACTTGCGGTTTTGATAAATTGTACCCTCATGATGTTTAAAACTTTCATAGTTATTAATTAATAGCATTTGAAACGGTGCCGAAATATCGGGGACTCAATAAAAATAAAGTACATAGTAGCGATCTCTTAAATAACTTTAAGTCTTATATGTTCTCGTGGTCTATAATATATCTACTTACCTGATTCCCAAATACTCCTATGCTGCACGCAGACGACACCTGGTTCGCGCCGAACCACACAGCGGCGAGCCTCGGCGGCACATTGAGTATGAACACCTGTGAGACGGCCACCACTGTCTGCCCCATGAAGCCCAGCCAGAACATGTCCTGTGGCACCGACAGCACTTTTAACCACGCGCCCGCGCAGGTCCCAAACGATCCTATTATCGTTGTCACCCGCAGACCCTGTAAAGGGAAAGTGGATCAGATTATTATCATCATCATCATCCAGTTCTACCCAATGAATCGAACCGAATAGAGAGAATGAGCGATGAATGACCACGAGGGATCAGTGGGTACTATTGGATGTTAACGACAGCAGATGCAGCAACAAAAGGCTTAGGGATGATTTACGTTTGACTGTGTTGGGTGAGGCATGGTCAACTAATCTATCTAATCAAATATTTATATAAAAATCAATAAATGCTCGTTTGTCTCGCCGAAACTCGAGAAAGGCTAGTTCGATTTAGTTGATTTAAGTTTTGAAATATTTGCCGTTGTCCAGGGAAGGTTTAAACGGTGAGAGAGATAAATCTGATTCGAAGTACAATGGGTCATAAACTTACGCTATACCGAGTGGCAGTCAAGTGACGGCCGCTATAATGTATTAACCGTGATACGATTCACGCTCGGCTCCGATTCGAAACGGTCTAGCGTGTGTCATCCCTTCCGAAGCGCGTAGGAGCTGCAGATATATTGAATATCGAATAAATTAGTCAACCGTCCTATGGCCTTTTCGAAAGTTGCTCACCTGACAGAACGCGTGGACCGAGTGCCATCTTAGAAGGACGTATTTTTAAGGGTTCCGTGCCCACGAGGTAAAAAGAGAACCTATTACTAAGACTTAGCTGTCTGTCTATCACCAGTCTGCATGAATAGTGAAAGTCAAACAGTTGAAATTTTCAAAGATGATGAATTTCTATTGCCGCTTTAACGACAAATACTAAAAACCTAATTATAAATATTTACGAGCAAAAAAATCACGTTTGTTGAATTGGAGCCATTTACAATCAGTTTTTTTGCTCGTTTCCAGTACGGAGCCCTACGTGCGTGCGTCCGACTCGCACTTGGACTGTTTATATGGCCTTGTCAATTTGTTTTATCTCGATAAAATGAGGCAAGTATAATTTGGAAGAAAAAAAGAGCACTTTCGTTAATGAACGATGTCACAAGGGTAACATATCTAGGCGTCCGAGTCCTTCAGCAGCGCAGCAATCTTCATTATCCGTATAAAAGGGTTTCGGTGTACATTCGTCCTGCTTGTTGTACACTAACATAATTAAATAGATATTGGAATTAAGGCGGAACATAATACTAAGATGATTATAGTAGTGTGTTTGAGCAAAGTTATACGTTATATATAAAATATACTAGCTTACCGCCAGCGGCTTTACCGGCGTGGTCCTATATTATATATTATTCTTGTACCTTCCACTTAAATTTGTATATTGATGAAAACCACATTTTAAACCATTGTGTAGTTTGAAAGATGCCAGCAACTTTGTTTTATACTATATATAGATATGTAATACTAAAGCTTTTCGAGTCTAGTTTGGCGAGCTCGTAACAAAAAGTTTCAAGAGCTTTATAAAAAATGATATTTTCGTATGTTTAATTATATTTACACACTGGAATATCAAGCTTTAGAAAGCTCTTGTCCATTTTTGTCACGACCTCTTAGACTTGAAGCAATTGACAACAAGGAATTATATTGTACAATATGGTTATAAAACAATGATAGCAAATATCATTTTCATCGTCTAAAAGAAATAAGAATCAGCATAGACTGCAATAATATATGCCTTTATCGTTGTTTTGAGTATATGAAGTAATCATGGAAAGTTATCTAGCTTTGTTTACAAATAATGATGTTCGTCCATTTTGTTATCTATAGTGCACCGAGTGGACTGCCACGTTATCGTCCATATTATCGACTTTAAACACCTTGTAATTTCTTATGTGAGTTTTGATGTTCTAGCTGTTTTCTCACAAGTTACTCGTATAAACTATAGCTTAAGTCACCCGCGTATGATTTAGCTTCTCGTAGGTGAAAGAAAATCCGAAACAACTGGACCACCAGCAAACAAACAAATTAACAATCAAATCTTTTCTCTTATTAAAAAAGTATTAAGAGCCATATGACAAATTTTCACTCAGTGATTTGAGTTCTCGAGAACTTGTTCAAGGTCACGAGTCCACAATACTGTGTTGAAACCACGTTCAAGCTATTTTGATACTTTTCCCAATTTTTGTATTTATTTTAGTATTTCTATGGTGAGATTCATTATCGATTCCCGAATATTTTAAACGACTGCTCTCGAAAAGGAGTCTATTGTTTTTAGAATTAATGTATGTATGTGAGTATTTTTATTGCACCATAACTTTTGAAAGATATAACGGATATGAATGTACAGGGTATCATTAGAAACATCATCCTAAGTTACCACAAAATACATAGAGTATCAGTAAAACTAGCTTAATTATTAATATTAAATAGGTATGGGGACGCGTGACGCCATTTAAAAAGTATGTTTTTTTGTAATCATAACTTTATGGGTATCAAATTAAAGGTCCATTAAAAATATATAATCTGTATACAAAATTAACTGCTCACTAAAATGAATAAAATATAAAAATTATTTAAAAATTAAAAACACGACTGCTAAGATCGGACAAAAATTAAAAGAAACTTAAAAAAGATTTTATTCGATATGAATGAACGATATCACACGAATAGCATGCACTTATAAAATGTATGGAAAAACTCAAGTGTTTGCTCATGAGATTGTACTATCTGTCAATATCGGTCACAAATCTCATGGTCTGCGGTATCACTTCAAATGTATGAAGGTGGTAGAACGCTCGATCTGCTTTTGATTTTCTGTTCAATAATATCGAGGAACGATTCATTTGCTCATACTTACCATATCATCAAAATATATTGAATTTTACAAAAAAATACGGCAATATCCGTATATAAACAAATGAAAAGCTCGATGGTGCCGGATAGCTCGTTTGATCTGCGATTGAGGAGGTTAAGCGACGATTGCAAAGGCCGGCAATTGGATGGGTGGTCAATTTTTTTGGTGGTCAAAAAAGAGATAAGGCAAAAAGAGCATATAAGAAACGTCCAACTAACCGCAATCTTATTCGTTTTAAGGTTCTTCGAAATTGCTGCAGTCGTATGTGTAGGGATGCTAAGTGACGCTTCTTCCGTAGCTCTCTTACTGATCGCAATCCTACTGATGCCTGGCGGTTTTTGCGCTCTGTAGGAGTGGGGAAATCTACTGCTACTGTGTCTACTAATGTAGATTTAAGCGTCCTTAACAGACACTTCTCCCTTCCTCCTTCTACTATCGATGGTGACATAAAGGATTCTACGCTCGCAGAACTTTCACTGGTTCCGAGGCCAGACTGCACATCTTTTTTCTTTTCAAAAATATCCGAAACTGACATTAAAAATACCATTCAAGCCATTTCTTCCGAGGCTGCTGGCGAGGACAACCTAAGCGTAAGAATGTTTACCCCTATTTTATCTTTTCTCCTTCCTATACTTGTTCACATACTTAACTTCTCACTTGAATCCGGTTCTTTTCCCAAAATTTGGAAGATGGCGCACATTATTCCACTGCCTAAAGTATCTAATCCTTCAGTCCCATCTCATTTTCGTCCTATTTCTATTCTTCCCCTTCTCTCTAAACTTCTTAAGCATATTATCTTCTTAAGAATAAAGCTCTTACAGTTCTAATTCTTCTAGACTTTATGTATTTTTATTTTCTCTCTTTCCCGGTATTTGAATTTGTTTTTTTTATTCCATATTAATTTATTTAGGAGGTACACACTGACTACCTTATTGTATTTCTTTTTCCTGTTTTGGGCCTGCTGGTAGAAATTTCAATTTGAAATAAGCAGTGCCCTTGTACTAATGTCTGTTACATTTGTTCATATGAAATTGTATGTGTGTACAAAATAAATAAATAAATAGATAATCCAACATTTTGTGGCGGCGGCCATCTTGTATATAAAATTTTGTCATAGTAAACAGTATTCTACTACTCAAGCCCTTTTATTTAATGTCCGTATTGAGGGAGTCGTGAAAAATATGTAGGTAATCCAACATTTTTGGTGGCGGCCATCTTGGATTTGAAATTTGTCATAGTGTTCAGTATTCTACTACTCAAGCCCTCTTATTTGATACCCATATTGATGGAATGGTGATAAAATATGTGATCCGACATTATGTGGCGGCGGCCATCTTGTATCGATTTTCATCAAAGTGAAGAACACTCCCGACTAATACACCTTTTAAACAAAATCAAAATGGGTTCATCCGTTCGGGAACTATGATGCCACAAAAAGACACAACACACCACACACACACACAGAGAGACATGTCAAACTTATAACACCGCGTCGTTTTTGCGTCCGGGATTAAAAATATATTGAATTTAGAAAAAGTTGTTTCATATGCGGATCTCCGATAAATTTGATATCGGTCGAATTGCATCGAGCCATAAGTCTAAGTTAATCCTCATTACGTAAATCAACTTCTAGTGAAAGTCTCTTCAAAATCGGCCAAGCCGTTTCAGAGATTAGCCAGAACTAACAGACAGACAGATAAAATATATTATTTTTGTATATGTACCATGTATACACACAAATGTATTTAGTGAAAAGCGGTTATTTTAATATTACAAATATGCACTCCAATTTTATGTACTAGTATAAGTGTATTGAGAGAAGAAGTACCTTGCTTTATTTGCATTTCATAATATAAATATATATTTTAACTTTCTTATACAAATATACCTAGGGGTCTTTCGACCTATGCTGAAAATAACAAATGTGTATTAGAAATAATTCAATAAGCTATATAAATTCCATATAAATCGAACTTCGTGACCAAAGTTGGAAGTCCCACTATACTGCTCTATTTACGCTCGCTCGAACGTATCTAGATCGAAAAATGGCGCGAAGAAATGCGACACAGGTCCAACGTTGAGGAGCGCTCGCGCGGTACTGAGCTCAGACGGCCGCTGCATCTTATTTTGTAGTGATTTTGCGTTTACATTTATCGTATTTATTGAAATAATATAATAAATTTATGCTTTAAAATTATAATAACTTTGTTCCTTATGAAATAGTCATTAATCTGGCATAAATTTTGTTAAATAATATTGTTGTGG